CATAGCGACCCCTCCTTGGGTTTCCGAGGCAGTATCACTACGGAAGTAGATTGCCCAACCTTCCTTCCAAGGAGTGGCTGGTAGGTCTGAACCACGAGCCTTCTAGTTAGCAGTCAAGTGCCTTAGGCACAACACTACCAGAGCTCCCACCATATAATATAAAGCTTAATTTATTTCTTACTGTTTTAGTTAAACATAAAGGTAAGGTTTCCAGTATTTTCTTCTACTACTCATCTGCCAGTTTGTCAATGTTGTGGTAGCTTGTGTGTTTCTGTGATACTGGAATGTATGCCACTGATATATCAAGTAGCAACAGGGTCACCCATGGTGGACAAGTTTCAGCAAAGCTTCCAGACTGAGACACACTAGGAAGAAGGTCATGGCTGTCCACATTTGAAAAACTGGCCACTGAAAACCTTCTGAATAGGAGTGAAATATTGTCAGATAGATACAGTGCTGGATGATGAGTCCCTCAGATTGGAAGGCATTCAAAATATGCCTGAGGAAGAGCTGACTCCTCAAAGTAGAGTTGACTTTAATGATGTAGATGGAGTAAAGCTTTCAGGACCTTCATTTGTTGATGTGGTATGACTCAAAATGAAGAAACAGCTGCAGACATTCAGAACATGTAATGTACAATTATGAATCTAAGGAAATTGAGTTGTCAAAAATGAAATGGAGCACATAAAGATTGATATCCTAGGCATTACTGAGTTGAAATAAACTGGTATTGGCCATTTTATGCATTCCATGTTCCACTTATTAATGAATATTTGCAGCTGTTTCTTCTCATTTTGAGTCATACCACATCAACAAATGGTTATTTCAACAAATGGATGCAGTCCTGGAAGCACTTACTCATTGATGCCAAGAAATTTGGAAGACAGCTACCTGACTGGCTGACTGGAAGAAATCCCCTATTTATGCTCATTCCAAAGAATGGTGATCCCACAGAATGCAAAAATTATTGAACCATATTATTAATATCACACACAAGTAAAATTTGCTGAAGATAATTCAAAAACAGTTGCAGCAGTACACTGAACTTTCAGAAATTCAAGACAGATTTAGAAGAGGGTGTGGAGTCAAAGTTACCATTGCTGATGTCAGATGGATCTTGGCTGAAAGCAGAGAATACCAAAAAGATGTTTACCTGTGTTTTATTGTGCAAAAGCTTTCAACTGGATAATATTGTGAAGAGTGGGAATTGTAGAATACTCCATTATTCTCATGAGGAACCTGTATATAGACCAAGAGGCAGTCATTCGAACGGAACAAAGGAATACTGCATGATTAAAATTGGGAAGGGTGTGTGTCAGGGTTGTATCCTGTACCATGCTTATTCAATCTGTATGCTGAGCAAATGCTTCAAGAAGCTGGACTAGATGAAGAACGTGGCATCAGGATTGGAGGAAGACTTACTAACAGCCTGTGATATGCAGGTGACACAATCTTGCTTGCTAAAAGTGAGGAAGACTTGTAGCACTTAATTGTGATCAAAGACTCCCACCTTTAGTAGGGAGTCCATCTCGACATGAAGAAAACAAAAATCCTCACAACTATACCAGTAAGCAACATCATGCTAAATGGAGAAAAGACTGAAGTCATCAAAGTTGTCAGGGATTTCATTTTACTTGGATCTACAATCAATGCCCATGGAAGCAGCAGACAGGAAATCCAACAGTGTATTGCATTGGGCAAATCCCCTGCAGAAGTCCTCTTTAAAGTGTTTAAGAGCAAAGGTGTCACTTAGAAGATTAAGGTGCATCTGTCCTAAGCTATTTTCAGTAACTTCACGTACATGTGAGATCTGGACAATGAATAAGGAAACCCACAGAAGAATTGTTGTGTTTGAATTGTGGTGTTGGCAAAGAATATTGGATGTACAGTGGACTCCTAAGAGAACTAACAAATCTGTCTTGATGGAAGTACAGCCTGAATTCTTAGAAGTGAGAATCGCCAGATTTTGCGCCTTATACTTCAGTCATGTTATCAGGAGTGGCCAGTCCCTGGAGAGGGACATCACGGTTGGTAAAGTGGAAGAAATCTCCTTGAAAAGGAGAGAGACCCTCAACCAGATAGATTGACTCAGCAGCTGTAACAGTGGGCTCAATCATAGCAAGGATTTTAAGGATGGTGCTGGACCAGGCATTGTTTTGTTCTGCTCTGCATAGAGTCACTGTGAGTTGAAACTGACTTGACAGCACCTAACAACAATATTTTGTTTTGTTATCTCAGTAGATTGTTATCACTTTGCACTTTCAAATCATTACATTTATTATATAGTTATGAATGACAGTACTTTTAGTAGATTTTTGTGTTCTAAAGTATCAGATACTACAGTCTTTTGCATGGCATCAGTCTCTCACAAAACAGAAAATGAAACCACAATACTACACAGAAGGACATTCTAGATTCTTACCTTGAAATAGAGTAATAGATTTACCAAATGTAAAATGCTTAAATTTTCCTCTTTCTAGTAAAATAACCTTTCCCCCCCTCTCTAAATCGACAGATATCAGACACCCTGAAGAACTTTCTCTCTTGAAAAAACCCAGAGATCCAACAAAGAAAAAAAAGAAGAAGCTAGATGACCAGTCTGAGGATGAGGCACTTGAATTAGAGGGACCTCTTATTACTCCTGGATCAGGTGAGACTTGGACTAAACAAGGTACTCAGTGTGAGACTGGTGAACTATGTGCCTGTGTCTTCAGGGGAGTGGGTAAATAGATCATGTAGGTCAGGAAAATGGTACAAGTTTGTTGTGTTTAAAACTTCAGCATTTTTTCCCCTCAGTCATCAGGTCACTATCAGGATTATTTGCATCTATCATGTGTACAGTTAATTGGTACCAATAATAAGGCAGGCTGGCTTTCTGCTGAGGAAAAGGTCAAAGAGGAACAGTATCTTAACTAGGGTCAGTTCTTTGCTTTGCAGAAATTGAACTTTTTTTTTTTTTTTTACAGTTTTTAGTTCCTTTTTTCTTTATTCTGTGAAAACCACTACTACTTAATTTAAAACATCATTTCTTCTGCCATGTTACTTAAAAGATTTAGCTGTGTTTTGCATATACTGTTCCCTTTGCCTTGCTACCTTGTTTTCCTTTAAGATTTGCTCTCATCATAATTGTGAGCTACCTGCATTGAGGGACTCTCTCTCTTACTTCTTTGTCATCAGAATCTAACTTAACATACAGGATTTGACAGGGATATAGGAGATGTCTTATTGGGTAGCTAGATGATGATTTGATTAAGTTACATAGTTCTTCAGTTAGTCCTGGGCATATATACATGGACCAGATATTACAGTTTTCCATACTCCCATCATCCACACATTTATAAATTCGTATCTTAGCATGGGTCCTTCAGCAAATACCTAACTTTTACTAAGTTAGTTCATTCTACACTTTATAAATTCTTTGGTGATGGTAATGATAGCAAACATTTATGTAGTGCTTACTGTATGCTCAGAACTATTCCATGCACTTTACCCATGGAAACTCATTTAATTCTTAAAACCTTTTGAGGTAGTTAGTTCCTGTTACAATACACATTTTATAAATGAAGAAATTATTGCACAGTAAGGGTAGGAACTTCTAAGAACTTTCTGTATTTACTCATATAGTAATTGCATTTTGAGAGATACAGAGAACTAAAACCCATTGCTGTCAAATCAATTCCAACTGATAGATTTACAGCCTTGTCCCAACTCATAGGGACACTATAGGACAGGGTAGGTCTTACTCCATAGGGCTTTGTAGGCTGTAAAATTTTATGGATGCAGACTGCCATATTTTTCTACCACAGAGCAGCTGGTAAGTTCAAACCATCCACCTTTCATTTAGCGAGTACTTAACTACTGTACCACCAGGGTTCTTCACAAAGAAATAAGACAATCCCTGTTCTTAAGTAATTTATACCACTTGCTGTCAAGTCGTTTCTGATTTAAGGCGACACCATGTGTCAGGGGAGATCTGCATTCCGTGAGATTTTCAGTGGCTGTGATCCTTCAGTAGTGCCAGGCATTTTTTCTCCCTAGGTGCCTTTGAGTGTATCTGAACTACCAACATTTCGGTTAGTAGCCAAACACTTAAATGTTTGTGCTGTCCACAGATTCCTAAGTAATTTATAGGCTACATGATAAAGACTACTTATTTAAAGAGAATATATGTAAATGCTAAATGAATATTGTAAAAAATTATAAAAATTCAGAAAACAGTATGCTTGATTCTAAATAGGGTATATTAATTTGTATGAGTTTAAGAAGTTGGTTTGTAGATTAAGCTTTTATATTCTGGTTGATAGTATTTTGAAGGGAAGAACAGTCAATTCAAATAGAAAGAATGATACTGACCAAGATGTCCTGGCTTAAAAAAAAGTACAATGCGTATGTACAGGCCATTTGAGAAAATTCATGGGGGAAAGACCTGAAAGGTAGTTAGAACAAAATTAGTGAGTCTTTAATAGCAGACTGAGGAATTTAGTTCATTGTAGAGTCATTGGTGTGTTACACGGTGAAAAAAAAACATTATTTTAGGAAGTGTGATATTTACTTGCAGAGCTCTGGTAGCATAGTGCCTAAGGCACTTGACTGCTAACCAGAAGGCTGGCGGTTCAAACCCACCAGCCACTCCTCAGAAGGAAGATAAGGCAATCTACTTCCGTAGTGCTCCTGCCTCAGAAACCCAAGGAGGGGTCGCTGAGTCGGGTCTGACTTGATGGCATATAACAACAACAACAATAAATGTGAAAGAGAGAATGTGGGGGGAAAGGTTGGGAGTACTAGTAGAAGCCCACAGATTGAGCAAGATGTAAAAGAATATGCTTATCAAAAAATAATAATACACACACACACTTAGAATAGCATTAGTTCTGAATTTTGATTTAGACATGAAAGTTTCTGCTTATAAAAGCATCAGACAGTACACACAATCCCTGCTCTCAGTTACTTCAGTTTAAATGGAAATTTATTCTCAAAACTGCATATAAAAGTATATTTCTGGAATAGTTTTGTAGTGGTTGTACTCAGGATTCATCTTAAAATTGCAAAGAACAGATGTTTTATACCGTGCTTAAGGGAAGACAATGTAGAGATTAAGATGATGATTTAAGATGAAATTCGTATCTTTTGGACTAAGTGAGTTTCTTTGCTTTTATTTTTTTAAATTGAGATGTTACTTATGTACAATAAAGTGAATAGCTTAAATTACAGAGTGATGAGTCTTTATATAACCTGTACATATGGTACAGGTTAGATACGAACTTCTTCTTCTTTTTTTTTTTTTTAAGTGACATGGGTCAATGCATTCCCCCCCCAGCAGTGTTCCCTCCTCTGCCCTCCCCTCCCACCCCTGGCAACCAACAAAGAAAGTTTCCCTCCATATATAAACCTTTCCTTGACCCTCCACAACAACGAACTAATACTACATTGGTCCTTCTGTGATTGACTTATTTCGCTCAGCATAATGTCCTCCAAGTTCATCCATATTATGCGGTGTTTTGCAGACTCTATATTATTCTTTAGTGCTGCATAGCATTCCAGTCTGTGTATGTACCATAGTTTGGCCATCCACTCTTCCACTGATGGGCACATAGGTTGTTTCCATCTTTTTGCTTTGTAAATAGTGCTGTGATAAACATAAGCATGCATGTATCTGTTCCTATCCTGGCTCTCACCTCTCTAGGATATATACCTAGTAATGGGATTGCTGGGTCAGATGGTATCTCTAATTCCAACTTTCTCAGGAATGGCCATATTTGCTTTCCACAGTTGTTGTGTCACTTCGCAGTCACACAAGCAGTGTATGAGAGTCCCAATCTCTCCACATCCCCGCCAGCATTTGTTATTTTCTGTCTCATTGAACCTTGCCATCAGTGCTGGGGTGAGATGGTATATCTCGTTGTTTTGATTTACATCTCTCTGATGGCCAATGATTGTGAGCATCTTTCCATGTATTAGCTAATATCCTCCTTGGTGAAGTGTCTATTCATGTCTTCTGCCCATTTTTCAATTGGATTGTTAATTCCTTTGGTGTTGAGGTGTTGGAGTTTTCCATCAATCTTAGAGATAAGTCCCTTGCCAGATATGTAATTATCAGCAAATATGAATTTGTTGCTGTCATTTTTGTCATGTGCTTTTTCATTGTGTCGATTTCTTTGTTCCATATAATTTTCTGTGCTGAGCTCGTTTTGTTTATGAATCATGTTATCACTTCCTTCATTGCTATTGTTTTAGTATTTGCTGAATATTTATGCTGGTTCTCTTTTTTATTTTGATGTGAAGGTTTATCATTTTTCTTTGAGGTTACCCTGGGATTTATTGTTTTCTTCCCAAGTTTAAAACAGTCCATTCTATCTTGTAGTTGTCTTGACTTCCCTATAATCTAGAGGTTCTGTAACGACACATATTTTTTCCCTCTTTTTGGTTTGTAATTGTCCTCATTTCTTGGTTGGTGTCTCTGGTTCCCTGTTTACAATCTTGTAGGCTTATTTACTTTGGATACTTGCATAGATGGGTTGATTTCTGGGTTATATCATCATGTGTGTTAATGGTCAGTTGTTGTTGGCTGTTGCTGCTTCTCTGTCCAAAGGGCTCTCTTTAGCATCTCTTGTAAGGTTGGTCGGGTTTAACAAATTCTCTTAATTTCTGCTTCTCTTGAAATGTCCTAATTTCACCATCATATTTGAGGGACAATTTTTCTGGGTACGTAATTGTTGGTTGGAAATTTTTCTCTTTCAGTGTTTTATATATACCATCCCACTGTCTTCTCGCCTGCATGGTTTCTGTCAAGAAAGATGAGCTTAGTCTATAGTTGCCCCTTGTAGGTAACTTTTTGTTTTTCCCGTGCTGCTCTTGTGATTCTTTATTTGTCTTTGGTTTTGGTGAGTTTGAAGATGATATGTCTTGGTGTTTTTCTTTTTGGGTCTATCCTGTTTGGGGTTTGTTGGACTTTCTGAGTGGATATATTCTCATCTTTCAACATATCAGGGAAGTTCTCCTCCAACAAATCTTGGACAATTTTCTTAGTGGTTTCATTTTTTTCTTCCTGTTTTGGAATTCCAGTGACACATAGGTTATTCTTTTTGATGGTATCCCACATGAACCTTAGGCTTTCTTCGTTTTGTTTTGATCTTTTTTCTGATTGATCACTTTCCAAAGAAGTGTTCAGATATTTGTCTTCAGTCTCATTAATTCTGTCTTCCATTGCATCAGTTTTACTCCTTTGCCCTTTCACTGTGTTATCTATTTCTGACAATTTAATATAAATCTTCTGGATTTCTATCTGTAGATTTAGAATCATTTCTAATTTTTCATTGATTTTTGTCATTTTGTTCTTGTATTTTCTTCAAAAATTTTCTAGGGTTTTGTCTGTGTTTTCCTTGGTCTGTCTCTCAGTCCTTTGAAGATACCTGAATATAAATAATTCTTTTGACTTCCTTGTCGGGGAGTTCCAGTGCTGCATCTTCCTCAGGGAGGTGTTTTGGGTCTGTATCCTGGTCCCTTGTTTCTCCTGCTTTATCTTGCTTCTTTGTGTGGACTGTGATATTCTGTTGTCTCC